CATTTCCTAAGTTTATAGGAATTTAAGGAGTGTATGTATTTTGAAACATCTGCTAATAGAGAGATGGTGCTGAAATCTATTTTTACCTAGGCATTTTCTAGCTATTTAGCTTATGTCATAAGTTAAACCTTCATATAAGGAAGGCAAATTTGTTGACTGCTAAATTCATTTAAATAATGTTACTAGAGCCCTAACTGGTTTGGCTCAGTGGATAGAGCGTCGGCCTGCAGACTGAAGGGTCCCAGGTTTGATTCTGGTCAAGGGCACGCGTACCTTGGTTGCGGGAACATCCCCAGTAGGGGGCGTGCAGGAGGCAGCTGAGCGATGTTTCTCTCATCGATGTTTCTATCTCTCTATCCCTCTCCCTTCCTCTCTGTAAAAAATCAATAAAATATATTAAAAAAATAATGTTACTAGATATGCAGTATATAGAAATTATTTTTTTTTGTGTGTGTGTGTAGGAAAGGATGAAAACTGGGTTAAAATAAGAGCCAAATTAACTTGTACTGAAAGGGCACTTTTGTTTTCTGTTTAAACTTTATCTTAAGATTTCTTCAGGAAGAAAGCTTGGCATTTGGGTGCAGCCATTTCTTCCAGTGTAATGCCAAACTGAATTTAATTAATACCAGCCCTTGAATGTACTCAGCAGCAGGGTTTTTCTAATTGGGTTTTACTCTTTGTCTTTTAAAGTACAAACAGCTTTTGACCTATGTCCAATGCTCTTGGCATTTTATTAAAAGAACCACTAAAAAAACTATATATAATTTGATTATTCTCTTTTGTTTTGCTTCATAAATGCTTAAGAATGTCTTTTGAAGACAGTTCCTACCTCATTAGCTAGTCAAGATCCTGTGATGATCAACCTATTCCAAATAATGTTTTTTGGAAAAATAAACTTGAAAACAAAAAGTATGTACATCTTGGGCCTTGGCTATTGAGGAGAAAAGAAAAAGAATTGAGAATTAAGTGTTCCTGAGATGGGCATGTTAGAGTACTATAAAAGTTTGAAATATTCAAAAAGTTCTAGCTAGCCTTGGCTGGTGTGGCTAAGTTGGCTGGGCGTTATCCTGTGTGCCAGGAGGCTGCTGGTTTGATTCCTGGTCAGGGCAGATGCCCATGTTGTGGGCTTAATTCCCAGTAGGGGGTGTGCAAGAGGCAGCCAATCGATGTTGTACTCTCACATTGATGTTTCCTTCACTTTTCCCATCTCCCTTCCTCTCTCTCTAAAAAAATAAACTATTATTTTAAAAAATTAAAAAAAATTAGAAGTGCTAGCTAGTATTTAGGTATCTCTCCTGATACTCTTTGCTATTTACTTTTTATGGAAATTAATTCAGTAAAACACTCAAAACTTTTTAGTATTTTTTACTGGTGTTTTTCCAGATAAATTCTAGGGATAAATATTTCCAGCCACAAGTATGTAATTCTGTAAATTCTGTAATACTGTGGAATACCTGTATGCTTTGTTTGGTATTTCTTCTATGGAGATATCAATGAATATACTACTCCATCTGTGAACATTTTAAATGTTGAAATAAAAAAAGTAAGAAATGTACAAAAAATGAACATATCTACTTGATAACAGAGTGGGTTGTAGAGCCCAACTTCTAGGATTCAAATCCTGGCCACCCTGCTGTTTTAAAGTTATGAGCCCTTTGGCCAGTTGCTTTACCTATCTGAGCTTTTTTCCTCACCTGTAAAATGAGACTTAGAATTCCTACCTTGCAGAATTACATGCAGATTTCATAATGCAAGTGCTCAGCAGGGTGACGGATAACCAGTATAAGCACTCAATAAACTTTAAGCATTTATTTTATCTCCATCACCAGAGATAGTTTATTAACTATCATGCAAGCCACAGGACACTGTTCTCACTCCTCAAGCAGTATGCGTGTTTGTTTTATAATCAGACAGACTTAGGATTGATCAGCTCTGCCTTTCTGGTTGAGTGTACTAATATCCACAAACCTGTGTCATCCCAGGTAAAAATGAATGACCACACCTTACAGGACTGTTGTAAGGGTTTGAAATGATGGTTATAAAGTACCTGGCATACAGGATGTGCAAACTTTACAGTTATTATAACACTAGAGGCCCCATGCACGGAATTCGTGCAAGAGTAGGCCTTCCTTCCCCTGACTGCTGGCACCGGCTTCCCTCTGGCACCTGGGACCTGGGCTTCCCTCGCAGCCCCGGCTTCGTCCAGAAGGACATCTGGTCTTATTAGCATATTACGCTTTTATTATTATAGATAGTTGAGGAAATTATTAAACACTGGAATTGGATTGGTGGGGAGACCAAGGACAAAATAGCCTTTCTGGGGCCTGCTTCAACAAACCAGACCTAGGGGTGGGGGGCACTGAAAGTGACACAGGGAATTGACCTGATAAAATGTGACAGTATGCCTCTAGGCTTTTGCTTCTTGACACTTGCTACTGTTTTATTAGTCCCAAACCTCCAGCTGTTGCCAAAATGAGTTAGTGACTGTTCAGTATGAGAATGAAAGGGTCTACAGATATTGTACTGCAGCCCCCCTCTCTTGCCAGATTAAAGGGCTCAGAAGGCCCATAACATACACAATCACGTGGCCATAACTTATGCACACACACAGGCGCCTTGGCTAAGATTCAGGTCTTCAGATCCTGTTCTATTGTCTCTTACCGCACTTTGTGGTTGTCAGGGATTAGAGAGAGCCTTTGAAAGGCTTTACAGTGTTCATGACATAGGTGGAAGAAATGTGGTCATCCTCAGAATCCACAGGGGAGAGGACACCAAGATAATATCCAGAGAGAAAGGGAAACTGGAGACAACCAATGTGTCCCCTAACATGTTCAAGGGCACCAGCCCAGGGCAGGAGGGGGAATCTAGTTCATGTCCATCACTTCACAGCTGTAAAGCAAGGTGATGTGACTGCATTTCATGTTGTGTGCACACCAGGGGATATCCTAGTTCAACAGCTCCAACAGAAAGACCAACAGAATGGAATGCCAAGTGGGGAATGGCTGCTACCATTCTCATAAGCACCAGACCGCAAAGACTGAGGATAAACAGGACCTTACCTTACAGAATACAATAGTGAGTGGAGTAGAACATGTTTCAAGATTGCAAACAACCTTTATAGGCAGATCAGAACACTGCTCTCACCACGCATAGTAAGTGATGTCATGGAGAGATGGGTATATAACAGTATAATCACTGCCTGAGCACACTCACAAGGGCTAGGAGAGGAGGAATGGGGAATGACTGTGTAAAGGGCCTAGGGTTTCTTTGTAGGGCGATGAAAATGTTCTGGAACTAGATGGTGGTGATGGCTGCACAACACTGAAAGTACTAAATGCCACTAAATAGTGACTTATGTGAATTTCACCATAGTAAAAAGAAAGGTACTTTAATCACTGGCTTCAAGTATAAGTCAGACCATCACCAGGAAGAGTAACACAGGAAAGAGTAACAAGCATTGGAATAGGTGCAGGAAGACCAGTGTTTTGAAATTCACATCTTGATGTCCCACAAGGGGAACTCTGCCAAATCCCTGATTAGCTGGAGAGAAGCATCAGAGGATTTGCTTACTGAACTTGTTGGTTGCCTGTGCTCATGGCTTGGTTAACAACTGGTGTCACCTCTATATTCCCACCAGTACATTTTGTGTTATTATAATGAAAAGAAAACTTGACTTTATCTGCAAAGTTTATTTCACAGAGCACACATTTATATGGAGGTATAACAGAGTGTTTCAATATGTAACATTCGTGCGGAAAAATATCAGAAATATTGTTAGGATGATTGTCTGCCTCCTATATAAAAGAACTAGCATTTGAAAATAGTTTTAAAATCTAAGGGATCAAGCTCTAATCTGTAACAAAAGATATAGTACTCTGAATAGCAAAGAACTAAGAAACAAGAATAATTACTTCCTTTTACTAATCCAAGACTGGTGACTACAAAGAAACATTGGCCTATTTCAAACTATTTGTGATAAGCCAGAAAACTCACTAGCATTAGGACAACTAAATTGCACTCAAGTTTTAGTCAATAGTTTTTTGTTGTTTCTTTTTTAATCCTCACCTGAGGATATTTTTTCCATTGCTTGAGAGAGGGAGGGAGAGATTGAGAAACATTGATGTGAGAGAGATATATCAACTGGTTGCTTCCTGCAGGTGTCCTGACCAGGGATGGGGTGCCAACTTGCAACCCAGGCATATGCCCTTGACCGGGAATCAAATCTGCGACACCTCTGGTGCTCGGGCTGATGCCCTAACCTCTGAGCACCGGGCAGGGCAAGTTTTAGTCAATACTTTTAATCAGGACTCAATGCATTTCAGCAAATATACATCCTGTGTGTGTGCATGCATGTATGCCTTTCTATCACAAGGACTAAAGAATAACACTGCTCCTGTACTCACTTGCAGCCACTGGTTAGAGAAAGGCAAGCAAATTTTGGTTTCATATCCCAAGTCTGGGTGTATACTGAAGGGCAGGACTGGAGGGTATAAACAGAAAAAAATTATATACACAGTAAACATTCAGAGGAATTAAACATATCCCACCAGACAACAGCCAAATACTGCTTTATGTACACAATAAAAATAATACATGTTTTTGTAGATAAACCCTAGTATGTACTCCAAAAGGAAATACTGATAAGAGAACAAAATATCCTAATTGTTCCAAGATTAGACCTTCTAGGACTCCTAGCATTTGGGGGCATCACTGCTTGTGTACTTAGCTGGAAAGGTTAAAAATAGACATACATAATGGTAACATATGCTTTACTCTATTTTGCAATCTTTGGTATTGGTATATTAGAAATAATCCAACATAGCTCTTGTGAGCAATCTTGAGTCCTTCACATAACCTATTATGTTCTCTACAAGATCAAACAGGAGTTTTTGTTAAACAGAACAAATATTATTTTAAGATTTCAAACACGTACTGAGAGAATATTATTCTTTCAGTAGAGATTCTTTTAGAAATATAAGTTACTAGTTTATAAACACAGCTTCAATGCACACTCAAACACATGTTGGCAGGAAAATACAATGAGATACAATGGAGATTTTTACAGGAAAACAACTTTTTACTAAGAACCCTTTCTTGTGGATTTCAAGATGACATAAGTGAGTGGGCATCTTCTGAGACTTGCTAAAATGACTTTTTGTTGTTTTCCCTTTTGTTAGTTATTTCCTTTGCTTGGTTCAAGTTGGAGGTGGAGTAATTTGGGGAGATGAGCCTAGAAGTTGAAACCCAGAATGAAGGATAAATTCTCTTCTAGGCTGCATGAGGTTTACATGTCTGACCAGAGGGAAAAAGAAAAGAAAGAAAATTAGTAAAGAAGGTGCTGGTCTCACAGCAATTGGACCCTGGCCTTCCTTCCTTCAGGGTGGGTCTGGTACCCTCAGTAGCCCCTTTGGAGTTGCTGACACACTGGTACTCTTATAAATGCTCTCAACATCCCCAACCCCCAAACAAGCCCATGCTGCCTCTCAACTTCAAAGAGAGCTTCTCAAGGAAAGAAAAACGAAGGTCTTTTGGTTTTGGAAACACAGGTTGATAGGCAAATTCCACAGACCTCATAAACACTCTGCCCTAAATGATCATCTGTGTGCTGTAAAAGAGCCAGTGTGAAAAGAACCTACTTTGCATTATCTGGCAGGAAATGCAGGACATTAAATTAGATTCAAGTCATTTAATTTACTCTAAAAACTAACTCGATGGAAGAGTCTTCGGCATCAATGTAACTTTTAGATCCACCACTGTCTTCTCCCTCACCTCCCAAGTTACATGGTGCCAAAGTGGCCCTGAAACAGCAGGAAGCAGGATTGCTCAAGGTCAATGGTCTTGGAAGCAAAATGAAGATGGGATAAAAAAGAAAAAAAAGCCTTACCTGATCAAGCAGAATCAGATTTTTCTATTTTTGCCTGGGGACTTTGGTGGAATGTTGTGGAACCTTTCAGATGGTGTTTCTGGCTACCAGGAAGGTTGCTAGAAATGAGTGGATCGATCTTGCGAGTGCTATCTAGTATCTGTTCACACAGACATTCCTGTGACACTGAATGTAAACTTTCGGATGGTACCATGGTGTTGCTGGTTTCAACTATCTTTTCAGTTTTTGTTACTTGGTCGGTCATTCTTTTGATGGACAGCCTGGAAAGAGATGTTTTGGTTAGAATCTTGATTATCCCCAAGCCAGAGCTTCACCCTGAAAGCAACTTTATATTCTAATAATCTTTTAAGAAATGCCTTGAAAGTAAATGAACTTTCAGAATGATAAAATGGGAAGGCTGGAAGGGGCCCTGGAGATCGCAGAACACCCTGGTTTTCAAATTGTGTCCTTCAAAGTCCTAGGTTCCACGGGCATGCTAATGGAACAGTTAAGTGTGAAGGCTGCAGGAACCCTGTCCCTACTTCAAGATGATCCAGGACATGGCCAGTAAAGTGAAGTGAGGACTAACGTGGGTTTTGTAGCTCCAGTGCTCTTTCCAAACCATCACTGTGTCCCTTAGCAGAGTGTTTCCATGGGCCTTGTAGGTTAATGTCTTTCAAGTAATCGCCCAAAGATCCTTCCTTTCTAGACTCTGTTCCCACTCTTCTGACCTAATCTGTGACCCTCAGTTTCCCCATATGTAAAATGAGGTCATTAATATCGAACTTAGAAGTGAAATGATAATTAAAATAGGTTATGTAAAATAACTGGCATACAGCAGTCACTCTATCAATGACTCCTTCCCTGATTTTATGAGACAACATTAACCAGTGTGAACAAATCACTGAGTGTGAAGTTGGGCTCTGCCCTGGAACAGTGGGATGTTGGGCAAATAAGACCCATAATCTTTCCATGCCTCAGTTTCCTGATCTGTAAAGACGGAAATTCTAACACTACCCTACAAGACTGCTGTGCGGATTAGTTTGTTTCTGTAAAACAAGTGCTTAAAATAGTGTTTGGTACAAGTTAAGAGCTCAGTCAATAATCTCATGTATCATTCTAAGAATGTCAATCATAATAACACCAAGTTTATTCTGAAAAGCTCACTGAGTGACTAACCTGATACCCTTGGCCTGAGCCAAAGGGTCTTTCACTTTTTGTCTGACGTTTTTTATGTCATTTTTAAAAGATGCTCTTGTCTTTGTACAGGCTTCATCAGAACTGACTTCTAAAGGCGGCAGCCTGGGGGTTCTCTTCACATTTCTAGATCTTTTCTTGAGTTTTATGGATGAATTCATGCCATTTGTAAAGGCTAGAAAAAAAAGGAATAAGATTAAAACTAGAGCTTCAACAACAAAGACAAGAACAAAGGCTGTGATGTTGATAGGCTGGGGGAAGGACCGACCATGTCTGATGGCAGGAAGAATCATGGGAGTACGCTGGAGAGGCAGGCCCAGCAGCCACCAAACTACTCTACTTTTCTCAAACATGGTCCAGGCTGCTGCCCAGCACACCTGCCAGCACTGCCCTTAGAGCACAAAGGGGCCACCTTTAAGGAACTTGCCCTTTCTCCTTTGGCAGGAAACAATGCCGGCCAGAGGATAGGACTTAACCATGCTTCTTACCCCTCCTTCTGATTACCCACCTACCCAATTCTGCCTCCACCTCTTATTTCAGTCTCACTTCCAGTGCCAACTCCTACCCTTTCCAGTGTCCTAAGGCAGACCCTATACCTACCTTGCTCCTACTGCTATGTTCTCATGCATTTCGCCAAACTTCTTTTAATGCAACCAGCTTGTAGCAGAATCGTTATTTGCTCATATGTCTGCCTCCCATCGGCTATGGTTCCTCAAGGCTAAGGGCCCTGCTCTCCATCTCTGTATCCCTGTACCTAGTAGAGGGCCTGACTTCTGAGATAAAGGGTGGACAAACAGTGTTTTCTCAGATGCCAATAACTGTTGCCATAAAGTGGTTCTTACTCATAAGGAAACTAATAATACATTTCAGCGGGCACTCATAATCATGATATGATTTTAATTTTTCGCAATGACTTAGAAAGTAATATTCCACCTGTGGTCAATCATAGATGCCGGAGGAGGCCCTGAGCTATGAAATGTTAGTAAACCTCATATTCAGCTGAGAAAGAGAGGCCATCTACAGTCTTTTAGCACAACCCATAAAATAACAACAGACGCTGCAGCAGGAGCTAATATTTATTGAGAATTTACTATGTGTCAGGCACTATTCTCTTAGCATTACACGGATTATCTCATTGTAATCTCATGCTCACCCCAGAAGGACAATAGCTTCTCCTTTTTCAGAGGAAAACTGAGCACACAGAGAGATTAAGTAACTTGCCCTTAGCCAAACAGCTCAGAAGCAGAGGAGTCCCTGGATGAACCTATGCAGTCTACCTCTTAAATAGTGACTAACAAAACTCAAAAGGTGCCCAGCGGTGTGGCTCAGTGGTTGAGCGGCCACCCATGAACAAGGAGGTCATGCCCGGGTTGTGGGCTTGATTCCCAGCAGGGGACGTGCAGGATGCAGCGAATTGATGTTTCTCTCTCATCCATGTTTCTCTCTCTCTCTCTCCCTCTTCTTTCCCCACTCTCTAAAATCAATAAAAACATATACAAAAACAACAACAACAACTGCCCAACCATTGTGGCTCAGTGATTGAGCGTCAACCTATGAACCAGGAGGTCACAGTTTGATTCCTGGTCAGGGCACATGGCTGGGTTGTGGGCTTGATCCCCAGTGTGAGGTATGCAGGAGGCAGCCGATCAATGATTCTCTCTCATCATTGATGATTCTATCACTCTTTCTTTCTCCCTTCCTCTCTGAAATCAATAAAAATATTAAAAAATAACAACTCAAAAGGCAACCAAACCTGATGGATGCAAGTCATCAGAATGTGAATCATCACTTTCTGGCTCATCCTCATCATCTGCCTCATGCTCCTCGTATGTGTCACTGCTGGATGTTTGTGTATCCTATGATGAAAAAAGAAAATTATGGTTATATCTAAATATTCAATCATCCTGACATAGTTATTTCAAAGAAGACAGATTTTAAGGCTGGATTGATGGTTAATTTTCATCATTTCAAAGTAAAGATTTAAAAAATCTAAACTCTTTGGTCCCGAGAATCTACAGGAAATAGGACAGATGGCCCTAATTTTGTTTTTAAGTTAGGGGAGGACACTCAAGAATGAAAGACTTCCCTGAGTGAGAGCCAACAGCCAAGAGCTTTGGGTTAGCATGCGGTCTCTTCCTGCTCCGAGTCCGAACTATGCCAAGGTGGGGGCAACTGGTGAGTAGCTAAAAAAAGTTCTTGGCTGCTGCTGGAGGTAAAATTCTCAGACAAATGGGCTAAATGATCTTTGAGATGGTGACCCCCAGAACTTTTCAGAAATGATATTTCTATTCTAAGCTTTCATAATTATATCAACTGGTCAACTATAAACAGACAAAACATTACTTTTATAGCACAAGGTAAACAGTATAGAATCTGGAAGGAAAAGGCCTTGAATGCATGTCCATCAAAAGACAGGACACTGAGGTAGGCAAATACTTGAGAGAGACCCCCAAAGCAGTGACCATACAGGAATAAACTGGTAAATTTGAATTCGTTCAAATTAATTTCTGTTGATCACAGGGCATTATGAGAGTACGAAGTAAACTACACCATGGGGGCTGATATTTGCAATACATTATATTCAAAGGGCTCATAACTAAAGTGAGTAAAAAACTCTTACAATCAAAAGGCAGGAAACCCAATAAAAACACAGGCAAAGGACTTGAAAAGGCAGTTCTCGCCCTGCCTAATGTGGTTCAGATGGTTGGAGCATTGTCCCATACTCTCTCTCTCTCTCTCTCAATATCAATAAAAAAAGAAAAAGGCACTTCACAAAACCAAATATCCAAATGGCCAATAATCATATGTAAACCCATTAGTCATCAAAAAATATTGATAAATTCAACAATGTAAAAATGAAGACATTAAGAAAAGACAGCCATAAAGTGAGAGAAGTTATCTGTAATACATATAACCAAGAAAGAAGTAGAATCTAGAACATTTACAGAACTATAAATTAGTAAGAAAAAGACAAATTAGCCCAAAAGTTCTGGGCAAAAGACCTAAATAAGCATTTTCACACAAGAAAAAAAAAAACATGGAAGATAAAGATCTAAGAAATATGCTCAATTGTTTTAATATCAAGAAAAATGCAATGTGATGCTTTATTTCATTACCACCAAAATGGCAAAACTTAAAAAGAATGTGAGCTCTACCAATGTGGTGCATTGAGCATCAACCTATGAACCAAGAGCTCATGGTTTGATTCCCGCTCAGGGAACATGCCTGGGTTACAGGCTCAATCCCCAGTAGGGGGCATGCAGGAGGCAGACGATCAATGATTCTTCCTCATCATTGATGTTTCTATCTCTCTCCATCTCCCTTCCTCTCTCATGAATCAATTAAAAAAAGAATGTGAAGCAACAGGAATTTGTATATACTGCCAGTAGGAGCATGGAGACTACCTTTGAGGTGTCCGAATCTGTCTTTCTTGTCCGCTTCATAATTTCCTCAATACTCTATTTAAAGGAAAATAAAATTTCAAACATGAAAACAGATTAAATGCAAAAGAGTGGTGATTACTCCCATTTTCCAGAAGTGGATAATATCAGTGACTGCTCCAAAGCCACACACTTAACCAACACAAGACGTTGGGTGGCAGTTGATTCCTTCCTCCAGTCCTGGTCTCAGTGGCCTTTAGTGGTGATAACTGTACTTGTTTTAGTAACACAGAAATCCAAATGATTCCTCACTCCTAATTTTGCAGACTTTGAAATGCATTACTTAGACTAAGCACATACTACTGCAAACCAATTAGAACTTTTAAACACAACTGTAATCTGAACAGACCCTGACTGAGGCCGATGTTAATGACAAGAATGTACCCCAACGATGCGACACTGCCAGAGCTTTTGTTACTAGAAAGAGAACACACATAGGAGAGCTAAGAATTTTTTCCCCAGCATACACTTCTTTCCCTGTAAGTGAGGAGAGATGCAGCTCTCTGGCCTCCTCAAGGTGATGGATCTGACAGAGGCTTGCAGCACCTCAGCCAGGACTGGAGCCCTTCCTTGCTCCCAGGTGTGGCACATGAGTTACACAAAGTGAGCTCCTACTATACAAAAAGCCTGCACCTTGGCCTCTCAGAGACCTGCACTTTCTAGCCCAGGTAGAAGAAAACCTTATTTCCACCAACCCATACCATGACCTGAGTAATTCTGTTTAAAGGAGCTTTGTTCCCAGAGGTTTGCTATAATGGCCACCACTGGTCAATGAGGGATGGGTGTGGTCAATAAAAGGAGACCCTTGTAGGTAGGAGAGGTGAGATCCTTGGCTAAGGAAGAAAAGAGTAGAATGGGAAAACAACCATTGTCACTAATTTGTGATTTTCATATCATGTGCCCAACATTGTTTTCTAAACAAAGAATCAAACCCTCAAAACAAAGACAGAGAGAGAGAGAAAGATTACCTTTTTTCTTTCTAATCTTTCTTGTAAATTCTGCAACATAATTTTTTCCTGCTCCTTCTTGAATTTGTCGGCCTCCTCCTCCTTAGCTTTTATTTCGGCGTCTTCTTTCTAGGAAAGTTACATAAAAATGTTTCACCTCAATATATCTGAATTACACCAGAAAACACTAGTTTAAGAAGTTAAATGTTATCCAGCTAAAATAACGTAATCTTTTGATTGAGAGTACCTATAACATATACGGAATGGCTGTTTTTAAAGCATTAGCTAAAAAGTACAAAACTAGGCTATTATCTTGAAGATTTAGAAGACATGTGTTACCCCCCTCCAGGACCTCAGGACTATCATTAGTAGTGGTTATCAAACCACTATAGTTTCAAAGTATGTAGTTGTGCAGCTATTAACATTAACACAGCAACAGGAATCATGTCTTACATTTCTCAAAAGCAGTAAGAGGATTCTTAAAGCTACCTTCTCCAGGAATGTAAATGCATATAATCATTTATGTGACATCTAACTGATTTTGATAAATGATACACTAAAAGTGGAATGTAAAATAGGTTATTGAAACTGAGGTGAGTTTGGGGAATTATTTACCCGGTAATTTGAATTTCCATGGGTGAGGCATTCTTATTGGTAAATTTGATGACTTTAAACTTTTAGAGGTATTCATAATTTTTATCTTTTCTGTTGGGGGGATGTGAAGGGCAATTGTGTCACCACAGAATGCAGGATTGGGAAAATTCACATAGGACGTTTAATCTGTGTGAGTGGTTTGGATTCCTGAAACCAAGCTGCAATATTGTTTATGTAGACAAACTAAAGGACTGTTAATCTTTAATTTGCTGCTTTCTGCTTTTGTTACTTTTGGTAAACATTCTTGGATTTTGCCAAGGGTGGCTGAGAATGACTTACAGCAACATGGGATGTTAGCTAGACTGTAATGTAAAAATGCAGCCAGAGAAGGTGGCATCCTTGGAGAAGCAGGTTTTTGCTTTGGGTTTCAACTGAATTTTATAACCTAGTTCTCATCCCCTGATAAAGTGCAGACCTGTAATAAAACTCGCTGGCTATCTCGATGCTGACGTCCTTTTTTCTTTTTTCTTGCCTTTTGTTGCTGTCCATGGTCAAATTTGGAGAATCTTTCTTGGCCGTCAAATGTTTTCTTTGTCACATCTTTCTCTTTCCTGATGACACAAATATTTAAATAACTCTTAGTATTTATCTTGGTCTCTATCATACATGGCTTGCAGTAGGTACAATTTACATTTATAACAGATTCACTACATTTTGTGTGTTGTTACTCCACAAAATAAGCACAATTTCAACCTTTTAAAATGGAGAAAACTAGCCCTTGGGAGTAGAACTATCAAGTGGTGGGCTACTTTTCATCTTAAAACATGGGGAGGGAGGAAGAAGGGAGAATGTCACTTCTTATACATGGGGCTCTCCACTTATACATGCTCATACCCAATATCACATGGGGATGTGATTGGGATAATTTAGAGGAAGGTCTGGTGGTGCCTAGAGGAAGAAAACCCAATCAACAAAGACAAGTACTGAGTGTTTTTAAAATGCTAAATCAGCCTTGGCAAATTTGGCTAAATTGTTTGGGCATCATCTGTGTATTAAAAGGTTGCCTGTTTGAATTCCAAGTCAGGACATATGCCCAGATTTCAGGCTAGATCCCTAGTAGGGCACGTGCAAGAGGCAACCAATCAATGTTTTACTCTCACATCGGTGTTTCTCTCTCTCTTTCTCTCTCTCTCTCTCAAAAAAAAATCAATTAAAAATCTTTAGAAAGCCCTGGCCAGTTTGGCTCAGTGGATAGAGCATCGTTCTGCGGACTGAAGGGTCCCGAGTTCAATTCCATTCAAGGGCATGTACCTCTGTTGCAGGCTCGATCACTGGCCCCTGGTTGGGGCACATGCGGGAGGCAACCAATTGGTATATCTCTCTCATATCAAAGTTTATCTCTCTCTGTCTCTTCCCCTTCCTTCCACTCTCTCTAAAAATCAATGTAAAAGATATCCTCTAGTAAAGATTAACAAAAAAAATATTTTAAAAAACTAAATCGTATCTATCTTTCCCTTTCCTTTCCTCTCTGAAATCAATATATATACCCCGGCCAGCGTGTCTCAGTGGTTGAGCATCGACCTATGAACCAGGAGGTCACGGTTTGATTCCCAGTCAGGGCACATGCCCGGATTGCAGGCTTCATCCCTAGTAGGATGTGTGCAAGAGGCAGCTGGTGAGTGATTCTCTCATCATTGATGTTTCTATCTCTCCCTTCCTTCTTCTCCCTTACTCTCTGAAATAAAAAAAAAAAATTTTAAAAAGCGAAATCAGCTTTGTTTACATGAGGGAATGAATAATAGTCTTCAAATTATAGTTTTTTGCTATTCACAATATCCTCTTCTCCTTTCTCCCAAAGCCCTGTACAAAATATGGAAAGTATGTGATTCGATTCCGGTCACGGGCATGTACCTGGGTTGCGGGCACATCCCCAGTAGGAGATGTGCAGGAGGCAGCTGATCGATGTTTCTCTCTCATAGATGTTTCTAACACTCTATCTCTCTCCCTTCCTCTCTGTAAAAAAATCAATAAAATATATTTTTAAAAACAAAAACAAAAAACAAACAAACAAAAAAACACTTAATACATAAAACCAGTCAGGCAGTGACATTTCAGGGCCCCAACTGGAATGTCCTTAAGGTGGAGGATCAAGAAACCTTTCAATCAAATTAGAATGCACACAACTTAGATGAGATCTACTAATCACAGGAAATCCTTCCAGCAATGACTAATGAAATTGAGATGTCCCAAAAGTCACTGGAAAGCACCCTTAATAAACACAAAAATGTAGCCCTGACCGGTTTGGCTCAGTGGATAGAGCGTCGGCCTGCGGACTGAAAGGTCCCAGGTTCGATTCCGGTCAAGGGCATGTACCTGGGTTGCGGGCACATCCCCAGTAGGAGATGTGCAGGAGGCAGCTGATCGATGTCTCTCTCATCGATGTTTCTAGCTCTCTATCCCTCTCCCTTCCTCTCTGTAAAAAATCAATAAAATATATTTAAAAAAAAACAAAACACAAAAATGTATACTTTCTAGGTTTACAAATTCTAAAGTTGCAAGACCTCTGAAAAAAGATAGGGGCTGACACAAGTGAATGCCAACAGAAAGTGCTGAGATCTGGGATCCTGACATGAGTTTTAGTCTTTTTTTTAAAAAAAAAATGTATTTTATTGATTTAGAAAGGAAGGGAGAGGGAGTAAGAGATAGAAACACTAATAATGAGAGAGAATCCTTGATCAGCTGCATCCTGCACGTCCCACACTGGGTATTGAACCCGCAACCTGGGCATGTGCCCTGACCAGGAACTGAACTGTGACCTCCAGGTTATAGGTTGCAGCTCAACCAATGAGCAACACTGGCTGGATGAGTTTTGGTCTCTTTATGCATCTCGATAGCACCCCTTCAAGATTCATGATGCATGAAGGCGAAAGAAGCCTATACCATTCATATCTCTGCTTGACATGCTTCCCACAGTCATTTCTGATTCATGTTGAAGAAAAAGTCAATCACTCTTTGAGAATTTATAATACTTGATAAGTTTTGGCTTTTAAACTTTAGGCCCAGGCAAGGTTTATAGCACAGAAAGGATGATATTGTACTTACCTTTGCTCCATTTGTTTTTGTAGTTTTTCTTCTTTTTCTTTGTGTTCACGAGCAAGGCGTCGTTTCGCTGACAAAATTTTTGTTGCCTCCTCAGCATTCATAATCCCTTGTGTGCTTTTATTACCAGACTCTAAATTAACATGTGAAACAGTTAGTTTAGGGAACTCACTGCCTCTCATTCCAATAAAGAGATGCAAGACAACCAATAATATAAAAAATGAACAATATGTATATAGTCTAAAATGTATAAAAAGCAATCTATAAGTGACTATAGAACAGATTTTGTTCAAAATCCCACTCCCCCAATAACAGAAGTAGCATTTTGTTTCTTTTTAACAACTACTTGTTCCAAAATGAAATAATGAGCTGCTCCCTCCTACTTTGGTTTAGCTGTTTTGAGGTAACTTACTAAATTGATCCTATGGAAAAAAGATTTATACTTAATATAGATGTACACAAGATTATATTCAATCTAAATGAAGTATATAAATATTAAATACTTGACTAAACAAAAATATATCCAGCATACATTTTAAAATTTGTTTATCATTTTTACTAAATAATTACTGTGAAGCTAACCATTGATACTAGTGTGTTATGATAGTTGGTTGATCATAAACTGGCTAACTGTAGATAACCAAAGAAACCAAGACTATCAATAACAAAGCGACTGCATGAAGGCATATGATAATATTTTAGTCCATGTGACTAATTTCTTCATTTCAAATAAACGTATGAAAATGAGGGTCCTAAGACATCTAGCACAAATAATTTATAATAAAAAGTTTATTCCTGTTCTAAATAATTCACTGTGGAATTCCTTCATAAAGCAAAATTTCCCAGTATATTTAAAAATAAGCAATATCCTTGAATATTAAGAACACATGTGACAGGTAAAAATACCAATTTGGTACTTTCAGGAACCCAACTACATCCCAGACACCTTATGGTCTATGCACAGCAACTGACCTACAGCTTCTAATAGAAACCCTTTCAGCCATTCATAGAACCATCCACTACCAGAGCTGGAAGGGACTGTAGGGATTACCTAGAAATACACTCATCCAGGAAGTACTTTTAACATCAGTGCTAAAAATAGATTTTCCAAAAACAATTAAAGTGTGGGTAAAGTAGCTCTCACAAGGAAAAGTAAGCAGTGTGCCAGTGATTGGCAAAACTCTCTTTATCTAAAAGAAAGCTCGCTCCTTAAATTTCTCTGAATTGGAAAATAAAATAGAGCTGACAATTCCCATACCTGCCAAAATATAAACTCAGTGAAGGAACTTACCGTCATGGGTCATTTGCTTTTGGTTCATGGCCTCAGAGCTTTTTTTAGTGGTTTTTTTAGAAGCCCGTTTTTTTTTCCTTCTGATCGTACCTAATACCTTTTGTGTATGTTGGGTATGCTTAACAGGAATTATTTTACAGGGAACAGAAGATTGTTCTGATTGTTTTGGCACAACCGGTGAAACTGATGGTGGGCAATTCTTTTGGATTTGCCTAATGAGAAAAATCAATAGTTAATGGGGGAAGTCTGATATGATTTTGTAATTAACATATGCCAATTAATTCTTAGTGTACTATTTCATAAAATATATTATGAGATCATGTTATTTTATAATAGATGAAGGTAAGCCCTTTGTCTGTTAAAGGTTTTTCTAAATATTTATATTACCATGTATACTACATTATTTCAATTATGAAATACTGATGTAAAATTTATCCTGGTAAAACACGTATCAGGAACAGTTGCAAATAGCTACTTACTTAACACTTATGGGAGAGGGTGAACCCCATACGCTTGCAGAAGATGGCCATTTAGACAATGGTGTATGTGTCGATGTGCGCTTCTTGTTTACAAAGTTTGATTTCTGAACAGATCAATACAATCAGATAAGAAATTATTAGCAATAACTTTCTTCAGCTGGCTTTTCTTTTTAAGAGAAAAACACTCTGAATAATACACAATGTTAGCTCCATAAATGCCTAATTTTCCTTACATGCATAAGAATTAGCTATAGAGATAAGTTCTTCCAGGATAACAATTCATAGTACACAATCCAAGGCCATAGAAATAATTAATTTAAAAGAAATATTTTACTTCAAAACCCAATTCTATTTCTAAATCCTAATTAAATGTTTACAATATTTCTCAAAAAATTTTTCTTCAGGGTTTAGAAGCATAGTTCATATAAACTCATACATCTTTCCCCTTCTACTAAAAACTAGTATTTCAGCTTTGGGATATACTGGTACAATGAATATCAGAATTTTAAATCATTAAACAAAGTTATCCTATTTTATTAATTTTATTGCTGAACGTTATAAATAAGTTGTTTTTATTGGGAAACCTGACCTATCAAATAATGTATACAATTAAATAAACAGATTTTTAATAGATTAGTCAGTAAAGGTACTTGACAAACCTGTGGAGTGTCTCTCACATTCATCTCAGGGCATGACTTGGACTCGGGGGATGCTTCTACATTGGCCTTAGGGGGCACGTCCATGCTCTCTTCGAGGACGGTTTCTAAGCTTTCTTCAGGAATCATTTCCATGTTCACCTTGTGGAACATTTCCATGCGTGCCTCAGATGTTTCTAAGCTCACCTCTGGAGATGAGTCTAAGCTCACCTCAGAGGACGAGTCCATGCTCACCTCAGGAGATGGATCCACGCTCATGAGGGACATGTCCTCGCTTCCCTCAGGTGATGTTTCCAAGCTCTCTAAAAGTGGTTTCTCATTCATCTTGGGGAATGCTCCCATGCTCACTGCAGGGGCTGCTTCCATGCTCACTTTGAATGGCGCTTCCACACTCACCTCAGGAGCCACTTCCACACTCACCTCCGGGGCTGCTTCCGTACTCCTCTTGGGGGCTGCTTCCACACTCACCTCAGGAGGTGTTTCCAGGTTCACCCTGAGGAATGTTTCTACTTTCTCCTGGAAGGGTACTGCCACTGTTGACTTGCAAAGTACCGTGGTATTCTTCAATTCATCATTGCTATGGCTAAGCAAGGGCATGTTTGTAGACCGTACTACAGGGCTGTGGATGTCTATGGGTGAATGAGAGAATATGAAATTCCAGTTAGAAATATGACAAGACAGAAATGTACCATGAAACAGTATAAGAGCAGGAAAAGAGAAGAGAGACTGTGTTTATTAGGAAATGACAAGGATTACACATAACACAGAAGTGTTTAGTGAAATTAATCAGAGGACAAAAGCATGGCAAAATTGGTAAATTTCATAAGCACCACCACCAATAGAATCACTGTGAAAGCAATAATCTGCTACAGATAAATATAAGATGCTTCTCCAAAGTTGATGTCTGCAAGAGCCATTTCCATTTTAATCACACTATAATTCAGAATGATTTTCATAGAAAATTATAAGATTTTCAACACTTTTTAAAAGTAATCTAAACAATTTCACCAGGGCCAGAGAACTGTTTCAGGTGATTATGTAAGACATACATGACTGTTTTAGAATAGAATAAAAAAAGAGCATTTTTCTCTTCCATATTAAAAATTGTACATTTGCAACAACATGGATGGATCCTGAGTATTGTGCTAAGCGAAATAAGTCAGACAGAAAGGAACAAGAACCATATGCTTTCACTTACATGTGGAATGTAAAACAAAATGCAACAAATGAACAAACACGCAAACGAAAAAGCTCATTGACACCGACAACAGTATGGTGGTTACTAGAGGGGAAGGGAAGTTGAAGAGGGTAAAGGGGGTCAAATATATGGTGACCGAAGGAGACTAAACTTTGGGTGGTCAGCACACAATGCAATGTACAGATGATGTTTTAATAGAATTGTATATTTGAAACTTATTAACCAATGTCACCCCAATAAATTCAATTTTTAAAAACTGTAATAATGTTAATCAGAATGGGCTGGACCTCCAAGGTCTCTTCCAGTTTGTTTTCTTTTCCTTTTTGTTTATCTTTTTTTTTCTCTTCCAGTTTTAACAATCTAAATATTTTTTGCCTAATAATTGGACAAAAATGATAATACTTGTTACCAATTTTGGGAATGGGGCCACTTCATAAACTGCTGGTGGGAGTATGGCTTTGCGTTATGTTCCATGAAGGGCACATATCATTTTGGCAATAATATATCAAAAGCCATTTTTAAAAGTACACATTCTTTGTCCCAGCAAGTTCACTTCTAGGTTTATCCTTAGGAAAAAAATCAAATAAGTGAAAATGCATTTACAAGATTATTTATAATAGCATTTGTTATAATGCTGAAACTACTTAAAATATAATGCAAATATTCAACAGGAAATTTGGACTATACTAAGACAGTCATTAATAGTAATAATATGCTATTTTTGAACATAAAAACAACATATATTGAATTTGAACAAAAACAAGTTATGCCCTGGACAGTGTGGCCCAGTTGGTTGGAACATCGTCCCGTGGACCACAGGGTTGCAGGTTCTATTCCTGTATAGGGTACATGCCCAGATTGTGGGTGCATACGGGAGGTGACTGATTGATGTTTTTCTCTCCCCTTCTCCCTTCCTCTCTCTCTCAAAAAAATAAAGCAGGCCGAAACCGGTTTGGCTCAGTGGATAGAGCGTCGGCCTGCAGACTGAGGGGTCCCGGGTTCGATTCCGGTCAAGGGCATGTACCTGGGTTGCGGGCACATCCTCGGTGGGGGATGTGCAGGAGGCGGCTGATCGATGTTTCTCTCCCATCGATGTTTCTAACTCTCTATCTCTCTCCCTTCCTCTCTGTAAAAAATCAATAAAATATATTTAAAAAAAAATAAAGCAGGTTATGATCCCATTTTGTGGGGAAAAAAAACAAACAGAAAGAAAAATATGCAGTAAACATTTTTTTAAAAGATATTTGATGGTGGCTTTCTTAAGACATGATAAATTTGTCACATTATCTTTAAATATGGGCAGAAAATTTTAATGTGATCTTATCCTATATAATAAAAGCCTAATATGCAAATCGACTGAACAGTGGAAAGACCAGTCGCCATGAAGCACATTGACCACCAGGGGGAAGATTCTCAACACAGGAGCTGCCCCCAGCCTGCAGGCCCCAGACCAGCCAAGGTGGGTGCCAGCAGGGGCCCCCAATCGCCCCACCAGTTGCCCTGCAGAGGGAGGTGACTGGCAGCAGTAGTGGGGGGCAGGGCAAGCGAGCAGGCGGCGCCAGGCAAGCCAAGGCAGGTGCCAGTGGGGGCCCCCAATTGCCTCGCCAGTCACCTCAAAGATCAGCCCTGATTGCCAGCCAGGCCTAGGGACCCTACCCGTGCGCGAATTTCGTGCATTGGGCCTCTAGTCAAATAATAAAAATAGAACAAATTATTGAAGATTAACTTAGTCCCTCACTTTTGGTAAAGAAAGCATTAAATTTTTTAAAAATTGATTTTTAGAGAGAGAGAAGTTGATTGGTTGCCTCCCATATACACCCTGACCAGGGATTGAACCCACAACATGGGTATATGTGCCCTGACCAGAATCGAACCTCCCACCTTTTGGTGTACTGGAGGATGTCCCAACCAAGAGAGCCACCTGGCCAGGCAGGGCTGGTGGAGCAAGCATTTTATTTACATATCCACATGTGCCAACAGTTTGTGTTACATAACATATAATAAGTATAACTTAATTTCTATTAGCTACAGAAATTTAAGACAAAATGTTGAATTTTTTATGGGAATAATATATTAAACAATGTGGCTCAGTGGTTGAGCGTGGACCTATGAACTGGGAGGTTGTGGTTCGATTCCAGATCAGGGCATGTGCTCGGGTTGGGCAGGAGGCACGGACGAGTGGTGATACTTTCTCATCATTGATGTTTCTACCTCTCTCCTTCTCCCTTCCTCTCTAAAATAATAGAATTATTTTAAAAAATGAAATTAGAAATAGCTTACAACAGATTGAAGGGAGAATGGCAGAAAATAATCTGACAGACATATAAATACACATAAACAAAGTCAGGAATTTGAAACTAAAGAAATAAATATGCAGTACTAGAAAATGAGAGCATTTTGATTTTATGAATCAAATGAATATTGACTGAAAAATATCAAAGGGGTGGTATATATTCTGGAAATTTAAACATGGAGAAAAAGGGGAAAACAAATGATGGGAACAATGTGTTAGAGCTCTCCATTACTGAGGATGTCTAACTACCCACAGGCATGTCTAACACTATATGTGACCTATAAATGAGAAAATTCCCATAACCCTGAAGACTTATTTTAGCAACAATCTTTATGTTCTTAGTTAAAAGACAAAGAGCAGCTCAATATTATTATTTCATATTTTAGGAATAAAAGGAGGGTAGAGTAGGAAACTTCCTACCTTCATATTAAGTTTTTCTATACTACCACTTCTAGGAATATATCCAAAAAAACCAGAAACACCAATCACCCTTATGTTCATAGCAGCACAATTTACCATAGCTAAGATTTGCAAACAGCCTAAATATCCATCAGCAGATGGATGGATTAGAAAACTGTGATACATCTACACAACGGAATACTATTCTGCTGTAAAAAAGAAGGAATTCTTACCATTTGCAACAGCATGGATGGAACTGGAGAGAATTATGCTAAGTGAAATAAGCCAGTCAGTGAAAGATAAATACCATATGATCTCACTCATTTATGGAATACAAGGAACATTATAAACTGTTGAACAAAAATAGATGGAGGCAAAGAAGCATCGAACAGACTGTCAAACTACAGAGGGAAGGTAGGGGAGGGTTGTGGGGGTAAGAGATCAACCGAAGGACTTGTATGCATGCATATAAGCACAACCAATAGATGCAAACACTGGGAGACGAGTGAGGGCAAGTGCCAGGGGATAGGGGAGGCTAGGGGGAGGTCAGTGGAGGAAAAAAGGAGACATGTGTACTACTATTTGTAATACCTTAAACAATAAAAAAATAAAATAAAATCCAGTACTTTTTATAGTATTGTGACACATTTAAGCAAGGTCAAGAAAACCATAGAGCTTTGTAATTTATTCACCAACAAAATTACCTATCTCATCCTATAAATTACCTATTATCCAGATAACTACTCTACAATGCTAGAAGTCGTAAAATAAATAGGCAATATAAACTGTTGGGTAAAATCACTCATTTGGAAACTACTGATTCAAATTATTTTCATGCCTTATTGCAACAAATTAAGTGATAAAGCCTATTCTTTAAGTGCAAATATTAACACTTTCCAGCTTTCTACCCTATACCTGTTACCTGGAGTATCTTTTCCAGGGATTGATAATGAAGCAGCACTTTTGCTCCTGGCTAGTGATGCTTTTGTTGGGGCTATCAGGCGCATGATTAAATCATTCTCCCAAAGATTGGTGTACAGTTGCTGAACTAAATGATGAGAACAAATAAAAAGGATTCAATTTGAAGCCTCACAAACAAATGCCAAGCAAAAAAGAACAATGTGAACTGCTGCAAACAACTTTTTTAGCCTAAAAGTAGAGGCAATGAGAACACATACATAAGAGTGAAACACTACACCTGACAAGACTGCACTGTTAGGGAAGAGTACCTGAATAAAGGGGCAAAGGCCCCAGCATACCACAGCAATGCCAACAAAGGAACCTAGGCAATGTATTTAACAGAATCCAACAGATGGAGTCTTTATGGAGAAACTCACATATGGAGAAAAATGTTGTACATGACAAAACAACTTTGCTAACAATCATACTACTCAAGTCCATTGGCAAAAGCTCCAAGGTATTAACAGAATTATTCTGCAATAAATTTTTATTCTCATAAGGATCGCTGTGACAATGGCATTTGACCCGAATCAACGAAGTGAAGAGTGTTCAGTAAGTGAATGGTTCGGTATGAAACAAAAAGCAACAATCATGTTGCACAGGATAAAGTTAGAGGGAAAAGTATGAGAAAGAAACTACTTTAAATAAAGAAGTATTTCAGTAATAACTGTGATATCTTGCATGCAATAATCAGTGGGGAAAACATTCAGAAAGGAAGGACGTGGGATAACAGAACAAAGCTTTGAGGTTCAAAATATGGCTGGTAATTTAGAACTTCTAAATGCAAATTGATGAAATGCTTAAAGAAAATCAAGTTCTCCAGTACAAAAGTACCTCTTCAACATCTAACATCTACTTTGTCAGCTTCATTAAAGACATCTTGCTCAGATAATGGCAGAATTATGTATTTCATTTAAAGACAGGTTCTCCTAGCTTCAGCCAAATGAACATGCACCACAGTACATTTTTCAGTTAAAGAAGGGAAATTTTGACTTCTACTTTTAGGAATGACTTTACAAGCAACTGAATATTGCCACAAATATATCTCTTTTAAACCACTAAGATTGGTACTTAGAAATAACTACCTACCTGGTCTTCTTTCTAGTTGTTCAGCTTCTGTAGGGTAATGTAGTTTGCTACATTTTTTATTTAAAGACTAGAGGCCTGGTGCACAAAATTCATGCACTGGGGGTGGGGGCGGGGGCTGCGCCTGCACCCCCTCGCAGTCCGGGAGCCCTTGGCAGACATCCCTCTCACAATCTGGGAGCGCTCACACCTTACCGCCTGCCTGCTCACTGCTCCTTATCGCCCACTGCTCCTTACGGCCAGCTTGCTGCTCCTTCGTGCTGCCTCGGAGGCCAGGAGAGGCTAGTGTCACCAACTCTGCGCTTGCCAGCCGTGAGCCCAGCTTCTGGTGGAGCAGCGCTCCCCCTGAGGTAGCATACTGACCACCAGGGGCAGCTCCTGCGTTAAGCGTCTGCTCCCTGGTGGTCAGTGCGCATCATAGTGACCAGTCATTCTGCCATAACAGTCGCTAGGCTTTTATTACATAGATAAGCACCCTTTCTTCTGGAGATCAAGGGCAAAGCACCATTATATTTTACAAGCTGTTTAAATATATTTTGATAGTGAGTCACTCCTTTTTTCAAACATTTTCTATCGTCTCTGCACTTGTTTATAAGAATTTAAATTTTAAATATGATGTAGAGATTCTACATTCCAAAACTTAAAAGTTTACTCTTTAAGTAAGTTATCTAAAATGAAATAAAATTCTTTAGAAAATAGTAAAATTTAAGAGGGTAAATATCTCATACTACCTGACCAAATCAAAGGTCCCAAATTAGGAATATATAACCTTTACTTTTGGACATAATCCATAACATCTATTACTAAAGTAACTTATACTTCAGTTATAACTAGTATTTTTAAACAAAAATGATCATTAATATAGATGTACAATTTTAGCAACCCAAACCATTCATAGGGAAAATAATCTATTTTGTGTAGACACTTTTCCATTTCACTTGAAGTATTCTGGCTCAGAATATTTAGGAATGTCTATTTAATAATTTCTCTTTGGGGGACCTTCCAATTAAAGTACATATTGACAATATAACATAATTTGAAAATTCTTGAATAGATAATATAATTGAACATTATGAATCAAAGAGGTGTAATTGATTCATTCAGGTAATTAAATCACATGTCCTTTATCATCATACTGCAAAAAATGACAAAATGATATAAATAATTATTATGAGGCAGCAATGAGCAGAAGAAAAATAGACTATTTGAATCAGCCAAGATTTAAAACGGGGCTATTTAAAATACTCCAGGCTAGCTTATGAACTTCATTTGAATTTGAAATGTTCATGTCTCCAAATTGAAGAGGTTTCACTTAAATTTGAAGGGATTTTATAAATGTAAGCCACTGCCAATATTGATTTTGTTTTCCCTAGAATCATTTTACAACAGTCATCATTTCAGGGTATGCAATATACTGTACCTTTAAACAAGTTATTTCACAAATTATCTTCCACACATACCTTCTTGCATTAAAAACTGATAAAAATCATTTAAAATTTACTTGGAATTGCTCCTTTAGTGCAATTTAACTAATTATTAACTTCAAAATCATCACCTGTCCAATCTCTTTCATGTCTCATTAATATGGCAAGTAGACAAATCAATGAAAGCATATTAGTGTTTGCTCATTATACTGAAAATGTAATAAATATCTCTGGAGGAAATCTTTGCTAATTCCTCAAAGCAATTAAACAGTGAAACATAGTCAGTGCTTATGAAACAAGATACATTAAAATAAAACTACATAAACATGCCATTGCAATGGATGTTATCTAATTTTGTGAAAGGACTGAGTTAGTGAAAAGTAAATTTATTGTATGACCAGCAAGGTGCTACAAAAAAATCTTCCCACATTCATTTATGAATGGACCTGGGCTAAAATAATTAAAGTGCTTTGGGAAAGCATACTGAGGGTAACAGTGGTAAGAGGATCACCTTTTTTTAGACCAATATAAGAAAAAATCTGATGCACGCACACTGACACATGAAATACCTCATAAGCAATCTTTGGAAACTGTACAAGTCCTAAAAGTACAAATAGCATAATGTAAGTATGAACAAAACAAATATCACTGTCAACATATCAAAACTATAATATTTCGACAAATTGGAAATCTCTCTAAGTTAATCACTGCTACAATTAATTATACTAATTTAAATTAGATCCAGAATCTTTTTTTTTTGTACTGGAATTTTATAGCAATCACCATTGTTCCCAAAACTGTCAAGGCACCTAATAATACAAAAAAGCACTTTTTAATTCAAATTACAATTACACCTATTTCTCAATTCATAAGGTATAAAAGAGGTATTTCTTCTTGTTAATGGCTAAGTTTGAAGGAATGTTATAGAATGTTTACCATGTTTTTTTCCTGCCAAGACCATTTCTATTTTTATTTCCAGAAATAAAAAGGACTTTTTAAATTGATGGGTATGCTTACCTAATCCATTTCAATTATCAGTGAGTATCACCATGTGTTAGAAGCCAGAAATGGTCATTGACACACACTCAGATATTGAAAATAAGGAATACTAATTAAAAGGGCAAACACCAGGAGCAAAGGGTATTTGAAGTAGTCATAGTAGATAAATTCATTGGGGTTTTAACTATAAAAGCAGAATGGGAATTACACGTGCCTGTCAACTTTACAAGGCTGTTGTGAATAACATATATAAAGAAGATCAATTTGTCGACTGCTATATATAAATATATTTCCTTATATGAGGTAATATTCATGAAACTTAATGAAAATTGAATGACTAGCTTAACTAGTCCCTAGAAAAAAATCATTTCATTTATAGGTTAGAAAGAAAAAGAATTAATTTTAAAATAAATTATTGTGTCACTTAACAGTGATGACTTTTGGTCAAAATGTTTCACATTCTCAATGTCAATAATCAGAGAAATGCAAATTAAAACTACAATGAGATATCACCTCACACCTGTCAGAATGGTTATCATTAATAAATCAACGAACATGTTAGCGAAGATTTGGAGAAAGGGAACACTAGTACATTGTTGGTGGGAATGCAGACTGGTGCAGCCACTATAGAAAACAGTATGGAGTTTCCTCAAAAAACTGGAAATGGGACTGCCACTTGATCCAATGATCCCACTTCTAGGAATATATCCTAAGAACCCTGAAACACCAATTAGGAAGAATATATGCACCACTATGTCCATAGAAGCATTATTTACCATAGCTAAGATTTGGAAACAGGCCAAGTGCCCACCAACAGATAAATGGGTAAAAAAGCTGTGGTACATCTACACCAGGGGTCCTCAAACTTTTTAAACAGGGGACCAGTTCACTGTCCCTCAGACCGTTGGAGGGCCGGACTATAGTTTAAAAAAAAACTATGAACAAATTCCTATGCACACTGCACGGGAATACTATGCAGCTGTAAAAAAGAAAAAAAAGAAAAAAGGTCTCTTACCCTTTGAGATAGCATAGATGGACCTGGATATTATCATGATAAGTGAAATAAGCCAATCAGATAAAGACAAATATCACATGATCTCACTTATTTGAACAAATAATGAACAAAATAAATGAACCAACAAAATAAGTCAAGAGGCATGAAACAGACTGACATATCTCAGGAGGGAGGAGGTGATGAGGAGATAAACTAAAGAACTTAAATACTTATATGCATAGCCCAAGGACACAGAAAATAATGTGGTCAAGGCCTGGGGGTGGGTGGGGACTGGGTAGATGGGTAGAGGAGGGTAAAGGGTGGAAGGAATATGGGGGACATCTGTAATACTGTCGGTAATTATATATATATATATATTTTTTTTTTAATTTTTTCAAGTAATAAAAAGAAAAACAAAATATATTTTACATTAGGCTACCTGAGCCCAACAAACCCTTCTGATTAATACACAAATCAGCCCAGTCAGCATGGCTCAGGTTATAACCTCCTGGTTATGTTCCTGATTAGGGCACATGCCCAGGTTGTGGGCTCGATCACCAGTGTGGGCATGCAAGAGGCAGGAGATCAATGATTTTCGATGCTCTATCCACTGAGCCAAACCGTTTTCGGCCAATGATTCTCTCTTATCATTGCTGTTTCTAGCTCTCTCCTTTCCTCTTTGAAATCAATAAAAATATATATCTTTTAAAAATACACAAATCACAAAAAGAATTTATACTAATATTTATATGATATGTTGATTTTATATATACATACATTGATAGTTATATTGATATACTGATGAAAATACAAAATAGTAATGACCATCTCTATTGTAAAACAATGTGGTACTCTTCTGTAATAAATCTAAATGTGGCACAATCTAAAGAAATGGTACTGTAAAAATACATATAAAGAATTGATTTCTTTGATTTGAAATTCAGTGGAATACATGAAATAACTACTTACTCTTGGCAATAGAATTCTGAACACCAGGAGATGATAGTGTCATTTGTTTGTGTGATCCAGAAGTATCCTCTTCTAGTTTTTCAGTAGATACAGACCGTTTCTTGACTGAGAAAAGACAGAATTTTTACTGCATTCATATTTTTAAAAAGCATCATTAGTTGAAACAGAATGAGTTCGTGATGTAGTTCTATGGAGCCTAAGCAGGCATTAATTAAGTACACAATGTGAGTCATTCCTTAAAAGCTATGTAATTTAACTTTTTATGAAATTGTGTAGAGTTATGTCACATGTAGCATAATTTACAGTATGTTACTAGTAAACAGGGCAGAACTATTTTAAAACTATCATTGGAAAAAGTGTGTCAAGCTTGTTTGTTATTAATCATTTTATACTACCTGTAAGTTTAACTGAGTAAGACTTTGAATATACTGGATAAAATAAAGTTACAAAATTTGCACCTTTTTCTTTTGCAATCTCACAACACAGGTGAAATAGTATGCATGTCAAAAAGTACATTGGGGCATTTTCATTTAAGATAAAAAACTCAAAACCTTGTGGTAAATGCAACTTTATACTAATAGACAATATTTAAACATCAGCATGAATGAACTTAAAGTCTGTTGTATTAATTACCCGTTTTACTTTCAGAGTTCACTGTCGTAGAGCCTTCCCATGACCATCTTTTTTGACGTTGTTCAATACGATTGCTCCGCTCCAATGTACGAGAGACAACAGCTTTGAATTTCTCCTATTTGAAATAAATGCAATAGTATGGTAGTTCCCAGAGGGAAGGAGGTGGAGGGTAATAAAGAGTAAAGGGATCCAAATATATGGTAACAGAAGATTAATAGAGTTTGGGTGGTGACACTCAATGCAATATACAGATAGATCATGTATCATAGAAATGTACACTTGAAACCTACATGACCCTATTTACCAGTCACTCCAATAAATTTAATAAAATAAAATTTTAAAAAATTAAATAAATGCCAAATTAATTATTAAATGCCAACAATTTTTACATATTCTTTTTAGTGGTTAGTATACTTTTGATCTGTGGGTTATAAAACAACACCATCATCAAATTTTTCTATCAGGAAAATTTCTTTTTTATCAGGTAAAAGTTAAAAATAGAGACATGTCTCGCCTGTCCGGTGTGACTCAGTGGATGAGTGTCGACCCATGAACTAAGAGGTCACTGGATCAATTCCTGGTCAGGGCACATGCCAGGTTGCGGGCTCCATCTCCAGTAGGGGGCGGGCAGAAGGCAGCCAATCTATGTTTCTATCCCACTATCCCTCTCCCTTCCTCTTTCTCTCTCAAATCAATTAAAAAGAAACATTTAAAAATAGAGACATGTCTCAGGTATCAATCAATATCAGTGCTTCTACTGAATATTTAGGTTTTAATCTTATAAATCTGAATTGAAGAACTGTGCTTCCCTCTGCTTATATCATTAGGAAAATTAGAACCAAAATTTGCAGCCTATTTCTACCAACTATACAAAGACTGAGGGTCCAATTTTGTGTTTACTAATCATACATTATGTTCTATTATTTTCCCCTCTGCTTGATTCCCTCAAGTACCCATCACCTGGTTGTGGCATGTATATATTTTTTAAATATACCCATTTATAACATTTTAAATTCTGGTGTTAACTAATCCGGTTTTTAAAAAAATAATAAGTGTGTTTGTCTTGAGCTCAACTTCAATTTAAACTTCTCAGGATAACAGCTACACAAATGTCAATGTCAGAGGGTAGCAAAACAACTCCACTGTCAGAAACGAGATGGTTTTCTTTACTCAGATATTTTCAATATCTGTGCTGAAATATACCAGATGAAAAAAAATCAACTTCAGGACCAGGTTTTCTATTTTTCCCTGACAGCCACTGTTTCTTAGCAACACCATCCTTACAATGTCCCCACCGTTTCTGAGGGCAAAGAGGGTAAACATAACAGGAAAATGGAGAATCATCCGTATCCTCTGAGAGTAGCAATCACAATTCTTGAAATAAAATTTATTTAAAAATGCATCTATGGGCAGTATTTTAAAATTATATTTCTACCAGAAAATCGTCCTAAATTACTTGGAAACCAGAATTTCTAAAAGCAGAAATTCATCTTGTATTAGTTGAGAACATTACTGATTTCTAAGAATTCTATCCTGCTATTTCCAAATGCATTGATTTTCAAATGAACCTGTGCTCTCAGGTTCCTTCCTGCATCTGTGGCTCAGAAATATCTATCATCCCTCCTCAGCACCATCGAGTGTGGGGTTTTCCCCTGATCTACCTGCAGCCTACTTATAGTGTCCCATGTCCCTGCTCTACTCCCTTACATTAGCTCTCTGGTGTTGAATCTTTTGGCCTTGTCTCGTCTTTCTGTCTCTTTTCCTGCCATGTTTCTGGCTTCCTTTCTGTCTACAGTTCCATTTTCTTCTCTTCTGTGTTTTCTCTGATTCCTCTTTCTCTAAGATGTTATTTTTTTTTCTCAGTCCCTGAGATTGCCTCTCTCCTCCAGGATCCCTCCCCAATTCCGCAGTTTTCTGTTTTACTTTATTTGGTTCTATGTCTCTACTTAGTTCATATTCATTCTCATTCATTCTCTCTCTCTCCTTTCTCTTTAACATAGATAAGTAAATTAAGGAGACGTCTCACAGAGGAAAAGGAAATGACCGAAATTCTAAATGAGAGTCCATCAAATACTGGAATGTGAAAAAAGACAGGATAAGAAACCACAGAAAAGGCTCAGAAAGACAGAGAAAGTGATAGTGGATCACGGATGGGGAAGAAATGGCACAAGGACAGTCCTAGAATAAGAAAGATCCACAGCCCTGGCCAGTTTGGCTCAGTGGATAGAGTGTCAGCCTGCAGATGGAAAGGTTCCGGGTTCGATTCCTGTCAAGGACATATGCCCAGGTTGCAGGCTCCATCCCCAGTAGGGGGCGTGCAGGAGGCACCCAATCAATAGTTCTCTGTCATCATTGTTGTTTCTGTCTCTCTCCCTCTTTCTTCCTCCCTGAAATCAATAAAAATATATTTTAAAAAAAGATCCAAAGATGGAGGTAGGTGTTGGGAGTGAGGCACAAGCAAGAGCAACTGTGTGCACAAGGAAGGAGGAAAAGTGAATACCAGAAAAAGACACAGAGGATAAGATTCATGGTGGAGAAATAGAACCAAAGAAAAAAGAAAAAGAAATGTAAAAATTAGAGCAAGAGAAAGAGAGGAATATAAAAACACACATACTGAGAGAATAGCAGGCAGAAAGTGCAAAGATGAGCAGAGAAAAAGAGAGAAACTAAAACAAAGAAAAGTGAGGCACTTCAGACAGAGAACCAGAAGACAGACTACGACTTGCTTAGGGACACTTGAGAATCACCGGAATAAAGAAAAGAGAGTATGCCCGCAAGAAAAAGAAGGGTGTCACAAAGAATTTGCTGGATTCAGAAGAAAGAATCAATTTACTCAGAGTAAAGTAGTGGAATGACCTACAGGAGAAAAATTTGGTGTCAGAGAGAATCATACAGAATGAGACAGGAGCGAGATGTCCATGTACAAGTGATAAAGGACAAACTGAGTAAAGAGGGACAGAAGGGGAAAAGAGAGGGTATCACAAAGGCAGTGACTCATGCCAAGAGAGTGCCAAAGACACTAACAAAGAGTCCAGAAAGGAAAATAGAGCACTGGGCCACAAAACGGACAGAAAGAAGGGAATGTGACAAATGAACTAGAGGGAAGGAGGAGAGATACACAGAGAGAGTGTGTACACACAAGAGGGAATGAGGTGAATGCGTAACAGTAATTTGGCTAGGACTCAGTCATGCAATTAGAGTTGTAAGAAGTAAGCCCATCAGATGGGGCCTTGTCAGGGAGGGCCAGACTGTGGGTCTGTGCATAATAGGAACTGGGCCAATACTGAAAGCTTTCTGGTAGGAGAGAGAGCCTCTCAGAGTAAACCCCAGGCCACAGGCACCCCGTGTGCCATGCTCTGAAGGTGGACAGGGTTCTTGTCCTGGATCTGCAAGGCTCCTCTTTACCTAGGCCAGTGGATCTCAATACTCGGATCTGATTGAGACAGGAGCAAGAGTCTCTAATATTGAGGGGAAGAAATGAAGAAATGGGATTGGTTCCCTTCCCACAGGTTGGCCCAATAAAGGCAGAGACAGGCTTAAAAAAAAGTATTCCGCCCAGTCAGCATAGCTCAGTGGTTGAGCATTGACCTATGAACCAAGAGGTAGCAGTTCATTGATGTTTCTATCTCTATCTCTCTCTCCCTTGCTCTCTTAAATCAATAAAAATATATTTTAAACAAAAAGTATTGCAGACCCAGGCAACACATTATATCATCTGATTAATAGGCTAGAAAAATATGTACCCTTTCTTCCTGTAATTTTTGTTTTCGCTTTTCTTCAGCAGATAGTCTTCGCTGTTCATCTTTCTGTTTTTGTTCACGCAGCTTTCGTTGTTTTTCTTCCATCTGTTTTTCATACTGGATCTTGGACTTTCTTTCTTTTTCAAGTAGTTGTGTTTCTTTAGTAGCTGAAATATTCCAAATACAAGGTATAAGATCCAGAAAATATTAGTTTTCCACATTACACACAAAGGAGAAAGTCAATATATCTCATTTTCTTTCTTAAAAAAACAACAACATGCACCTAATAAATAAACATTTATTGTATAAGTGTGGCCACCAAACAAAAACACCAAAGAACTAAATTAGCTTAGATGACTCTCATCCTGTCTGAATTTAAATTTAAATTCCAAATTAAAGAAATGTAGTTGCCGTAGACCAATTCCAGCATGTCATAATTTTAAGAGTTTCATCAAAAGGTTGATGAAACTTGGGGACTCAACAGGGTTGAGTCACAGATGTAGTCACCATCTGGGAATGGCTATCGGCATCTCCCCAAACCTGAATAAGAAACTGATTGTGGCTGCCAGACAGTTAAAGGGCATCTTAATCTATGTTATTGCCTCCTACTGGCCAAACACTTGAACAGCCGTAGGCTATCCCCCAAACTGACAATGCCTCTGTACCCTTTGAAACCTTACCCATTGAAGTGTATTATCTCCACCTTGCCTTAGGACAAATTGTGTTAATAAAAGCAAGGGTCCTAGACAAGGAGGCACTCTTCAGTTCCTTTAGCTGAAGGTCCTCTGACCCCCAATGCCTTTCAAAATTATATCTTGTCTCTGGACTCTTTATTAGTCTCTGGATTTCTGTCATCTACGCGCAGCCCCTTTTCCAGATTCCTGAACACTTCTTGATGCTGGGACATGAACCCCGGCATGTAGTTTCATACATTTGACGTTTCTGCTGATTTGAGCTCAAGTTAAGCATTAAAACAATAATTTTTAAAGACTACATGGCAAGAATGGATTTTTTTCCCTTCAACTAGGAAACTTCTTTTAAAAGCCTCCTCATCTATACAGGCCATATTAAGCATGCCAATCATGGGCTTTGTCACATATTACATTTTGATGTTTTCCTATATTCAAATTTTCCCTAGTTTAAGCTTGGAGAGCATCTAGCAGTTATAAAATAGTCTCCGGCTTAGAGCTAGGAAGAAACAGCTCCTTATCAAAACAGTGGTAATTGATATTCCATTTGAATACTAGTAAAGTTGGGCAATAGTATTGTCAGTGGATTTGTAAGACCAGAGGAGAAAAATACACAGTTGAAAAAGTATTTTTTCAAGGTGTAAAAAGATTATACTTTTAGATCTCAACTGATCCACAGTTACACTTGAGAAGCATAGCAATCAGTGAAAGATTCTATGTTAGGATTCTTAGCAGTTTCATTTTCATGTTTAGTATTACTTTACTGAAATCCCATTCTGCTGTTTCTACAAATGTTTAAGAGATATTCATACCTTAGTTTTCAGAAAATTAAAGCTAACAGAAATTACTACTTCAAAAACTAAACAACCGCAGTTAAATTTTTTTCATGGGCCTTCTTTATCTGATTTAATACAAACATTTAACCCAATATAATACATACTGTAAAAAGTAAGATCTATCATATAATCAGACTAGGAAAAGTAAGTAAAAGCCAATTTGGAAATATATGACCTTAACATAAAATTCATTCATTAATTTTTTAAAAAAGTCTAAAATATACCATCCTGTTGTCTTCTTTTTTCTTCTCTGCGCTCCTTGGCTAATTTTTGTTTTATATCATTTTTAAGCACAGATCCATCTAGCACTAAAAAAGAAAAGAATATAATTGGACATTAATAGGATATCAAAATTTTAATGATGTGATACTTTGACATCTTCCAAAGCATTCTAGGAATTATACCTGGTTTACATACTGATCTTGTATTTGAGGATTGGGGTGGAAGGGAGCTAAATCCACTCTGATTGCGTCTTTCTTGAGCAATGGCATTAGCAGCAACTACTAAAATACAGGGAGATAAATAAAAGGGGTTGGATATTAAGATTACAAACAGCTAATACAGGGGGCTGCAAAGCACAGCCAATTGTGCCTTTGATGATAAAATGTAGCATATCTTCCATAAAGAGAAGTCATAAGACATAGTGAGTTCATGATGTTCAACAATAATTTCACAAAAAATTAAAAGTGTATGCTGTGGATGTGACAGCATAACTGTGACATAAAGAGAGCTGTTAGTGGAAGTAGCAAGACAAATTTGTGGATGAGTAGTAGCTAGTGATTAATAGCTGTCAGAAATGCATCAAAGACATTCTGCCAAGTGCTAGAAAAATTGAGCTGGCAAGGAATTGTTAAAAATGTTTCGCCATAACCTGGGACTTTAGAAAACATTTAGAGTTTATGGATATTAATTTGGAAGCAAAAGTGTCAACAGTGATATCCTCAGAGATCGGCCCAATATTAAGGAGTACATTTATAAATGACCTAGATCAGGGGCTTTCTACACTGGCTGCAGCCACCTAAACTGCTTTAAAAAAATTAGCAATGCCTGCCCCTCCCAGCCCCCACTCTCTGGGGGGTGGGACCCAGGCCTTTGCAGTTGCAAAAAGCTCTATTCTGATGCATAGTGAAGGTGATGAACCACTCAAGGAATTTCCAGTGATGGCATTACTCTAGGTAGAAAAATGTCAAGCAAACAAATGTAAATTATACAATACAAATTTACATATGTCTTGAGTAAATAGGTAGAAAATTGAAAAATAAACTTCAATAAGAGGGATGGGGGATGGGTGGAAAAGGTGAAGAGGAATATAGTCAATAATAGTGTGATAAGTTTATAGGGTGACACATGATTACTAGATTTAGTGTGATCCCATTGTAAAGGTGTATAAATATCAAATCACTACATTGTACACCTGAAACTAATATAATATTGCATACCAACTATTTTTAAATTTAAAAAATAAATAAAATAAACTTCAATAGGGGTATAAGAAAAGGGGAGCACAATTTGAGAGAAAGTAAGAAAAACTACAATTCTAGCGTGATACACATATAATTTATTATAAAGGATTTCCTGAAACCTTTAATTCCATGTATGGCTGTTTCTAAAATGCCCCGCAATACTGGGCATCTTCAGGAAGGATCTGTAGAATAACAATGAAAATTCTTTTCTACCTTTGAATGAAAGCATAAGAAATATGGCCCCGTGATACTGCATACAACTCTGATTTCTATATATCAAGGAAAATATAACAGCTGAAGGTGGGCAATAAAAACAATTAAGGTAACAGAGGTGCTGTCCTTGTACTCATAGAATGAATGGACTCTGAGATGTTAGTTGCCACTGAAGAAAGATATTTGAGAGTCATTTTACAGAGTAACCTTGAAAAGTGACATCATAATGGCTGCCATAGGGATCACCATTTCAAAAAGGAAAAAGGATTTTTTTACCCCAGAGACCTAACAGCTCAGATAATACATGACCTAGCTAAATTTGAAAATTAGATTCTTCTCACCTTCCTTAATAATTCAACTACTGGCAATTTTGTAGACCACAATTACCCTTTCAATTTGAGTACTAATATATTAAGAAAAATTTTTTACAGTCTAGAAATTAATCCCTCTACATACTCCCTCCAACTTTTGCACATTCAGTATTCTTAGAAGTCTCAAGGAAAGTCCATATTTTGGCACAATTTAGCTAACCAAAAGAACAATTTCTCTCAAAATGTACAATTTTATCAGGTTTATAGATTTCATTAAACAGAAATAACCTTAGAATTAACTATGGAGGGAATAATGAACCAAACCATATAAAGGTTAATGTGGTAATATAACATCAACCTTGATTTTTCGATCTTTATATCAAATTCCTACTGGCAATAAATATATTCACCAAAAGGTAAATAAAGCATTTACCTTAAAAAAAAAAGAAAAGAAAAAAGAAAGCACTATTATGCTGGGGCTAAGACAGGACTACATTTAAAGAAAAAGTGTAAAAGACATTACAAAAAGAAAACCAATCTCCTGTGGGGGAAAATTTACAATTAATCATGCTATCTAGCCCAATATAAGCCTCAGAATTAAATGAAAAAAATATATAGGTGCCACTAGGATGCCCAAGTTAAAGAATGCTTATACTTAGTAGGTTTTTAAAAGATGTCATTGAGATTCTGAAGCCCCCTTTGCACATAAAACATTTTAGCTCATTACTGACTTCATGTAGAAAATTTCTGCTTCTCTCTGGCCCTCTTCCTCAGCACATACACATACACACACGATCACATACATAAATACATACACACACACAATCTGTGTCACTAGAGTTCTGCTCCATTAGGGCAAACTAAATGCAAGAAAGAACACAACATGACTAGTAAAGAATGGTCATCTTCCTAAGACTGCACACAAGCACAGCCAACCCCAAATGCTAAATCCCATGAGATGTCAATGATACACACCCCATACTTATTCAGCAATTCTATATTGATTGCCACAGAGGTTGCTCTTGAATCCCTCTCAGAATTCAACATAAAATCTGTAGCCCTACCTGCCCATGACCTTTCCTCCCCATGATCCTTTCTTCTGTACTCATCAGAAATATTAGATCACAAAAACTATTTTATTAGGTAGGAAAGGGCATAGATTGCAAAAAATTATTGAACCGGGTTTTTTATTTTTATAAAAAGCTATGGTTGTGGCAGAGAACCATGCCATGAAACTGGTACAGATGAACAAATTTAGTGCTAGTCACTGTTATTTGGGCAACAGAATAAAAAGAAGCAACTCCTACCAAGTGCCAAAACATCTCATTGACTCTGTCCCCATCAAGAAATGCTGAGACCAGGAAGGCAGTTCTGGTTAAGCATGTGCTGCTTTCAATTTCTATCATAAAATGGGCAGCAAGGATGTTGGTCAACTAAGATTCTGTGTTAAGCCTTTTTTTGCATGGCTTTTTGTAAGTTTTTCGTTTGAAATACTGTCAATTCAAGCAACTGTCCTATACCAGATTTTCAGATATTTTTCAAAGTTCAATACACAAATGTTTTGGGGGATTATCCGGAATGCTGGTTATTTTAAATCAATGATATAAAGCAAGGTGAGAGAGCTTTAGGTGTCCTTAAGCAATAACACAAATGTGAATTTATTGCAAACTGTCTCTTGAGAGACAGAAAAGAGTTTTCTCCCGATGGAAAGTGTATTTGCTTCTGACATTCTTTGGGGAGTTCATTCAGAGCGTTCTGAAATAACATAAATCTAAATTAATTTTTCAATTGCAAATGAAAAAAACTCCCTAAGGATTTCAGTAAAAATCAATAAGATAGTTTTATTCAAGCTCATACAGGAGGAAACCACCCTGAGAACTGGCGAAAAGCGACCTGCTACAAGCAAGAAATACTACCTCCCTCAGGTAGTGAAACAGTCTCGTGGGCTAAGAAATGCGCTGCCAAACTTTTCAAAATTAACGATTTGGGGCGGGGGAATCTTTTTGGCGTTGGGGTAAGTTTAGGAGAAGTAATCAGTTCAGCCTAGGGTCTGCAAGATGTCCCAGGAAAGGTGACATCTTGGCGGAATCCTGTGAATCAGAAGGTAGAGAGAGCCACGTTTTACCCCAACTTAGGCTTCCTCTCCATCCGACCTTGACCAGGAGGGTGCCAGAGGTAAGCTTTTGGAGAGGCGTGGATTGCGACCGTGGGAAAGAACCAGAGCGCGAGCGCCCTGGGCAGAAGGAAAACTCCAACCACTGATGCTGGGAGGGCTGCGCCTGGCCGCGGAGGGGGCCCCGGTGCAAGG